CGGTTATCCCGACGGCGGGAGCGGCACGCTGCGGCCCTGGCTAAACGCGAATAAGGAAGTTTACTCTGCCTGTTGCCATTTTTGCTGCGCCAACTGAATTTGGCATTCAGCTCTTCCTTCTCCCTTGTCACTCCTAGAGGTGACTGTTTTGGAGATGGACAAGATTTCCTGCCCGTTTCGTAGTGATTGGTGACAAGCATTTGCGTCTTTCATAATGCCAACAGGGAAACAACAAAAAAAAAAGAGTGCCAGATATTGTGATGTTATTAAACGTTTTGATCGGGGAGTCAGCTGGTTTTGGAGTTGGGGCCAGTGTGTCTCTAATGCCTCTCTTCCCAGCCAGGCTGATCTCTGGGGAAGGCACAGAGATGGGGGTACTGGAAGGCAAAACAGAGCACAGCAGAAAGGATCACAAGACTTGCTCTGTGAACACGGCAGTACAACAGTTGTGTTGGGCCTAAAGATGCTGGTATTACTTGGTGTTAGACGTATTTGGAATCACCTCAGGACTGTGGTTCATTGGATCCATTTCATAAAGTCCCAGTTTCTAAGAAAGAGAATCTGTCCGTCTTTCCTTGGCATTGGTGCCTGACTTCCCATTCACTGAATTAGGAAGAGGACTCCACCTTAAAAGTACCAAATAAGCCAGTTGTTCTGTCTTGGTTATTTTTTCAGATGCCCGTACTCAGCGTGAGTACGATGAGAGCCATATTATTACTGCACGCAAGATTGAACAGGTGAGGCGAGTTTACCATTTGTTTAAACCACCCCTGGACTTTAGCAGTAAACGAAAACTGGCTTAAAAATAATTATTCTAGTCTCCCCCCTGCCTGTGTCAAACATGTTTCATTTCTGCCACTGGGGGGATGTGTTTTAACACAAGAAGGAAAGGGTAGGTGGCTTCAAAAGCCCAAAGGACTGGGACGTAGAAGCTGATTATCAGGAAAAAATATTGCACAAAACCTGACATACTGTAGCGTTGTCCCACAAAGAACAGTGCTGGCATCTTTACCACTGAAGCCAATGAAGCAATCCAGGGTAGTTTACATAACTTCTGATTTGTGCCTGGGTCTTTCAGAATAAAGTGCAGATGCAGCCCCAAACCCATCCCGTAGTCAGAGAGTAGTAACTTGCAAGATGTTTGTAGGGTTGATGCCACAAGAAAAATGTGGACATGTTCTCCTGATAGAATTCTTGTGTGATTTTGCTAGAGTCCTACAGGGGAGTATCTGGTACCGGATTCAGAGGAGTTGGAGTGTGTCAGATACTGTGTTGTGTATGATTGCGAGACCAGCTCCCTGGATCTCTGTGATTATGAGAAAGAGAAGAGTGAAAAAGGTACGTCAGCTGGCTTGAAAGGCAGGCTCTCCTACTGCTTGTGACTCATGGCAGTCAAGATCTCACTGCAGGATAGCTACTCTTCACATTCCTCGTTTACTCTTATGAACTTATTTGGAAGAGATCCAAATTATGCTCAGTTTTATTTGGGAAAAGGAACACCTGTGATATACCTCTGTTTTCTTACTGACTGTATCGCATGTGTTCTTAGGCTTCATAAACACAGATCTTATTTCAGGGGCTTCCTGGCAGGACCAGGTCCCTATCTTTGAAATGATCCCTCCAAAGTTCTTCGCTGCGTGTGAGGAAAAGATTCTTTTTTCACACTTCACTGAGATGTGGCTTGTCTAACTATTGCCTTTTAGGGGCCCATGCTTCTTCAGAGATCGAAAATGCTGAGTCGAGTTCCTTATGCTCATTGAGTGAGTACTTCCTCCTAAGGTTATAAAGACCTGTCATGTTATCACATTAAAAAAAAAAAAGACTTAGCTTTAATGGGAGTGGTGATTTGATGGAGTTCACTGAGAAGGGTGAGGAGCTGGAAACTCTTTTCCATGTACTTGCCCAGTTTTCCTTGAACCACGTACATGTTTAGCTTTCAAACGTTCTTTGGCAAGGGGTTCTGCTGTATGAAAAACCACTTCTTTTTGTTTGTTTGTTCTGAACCTGGCTCCTATTAGCTTTATAAGAACTGCTATAGTTTTAGCAAAGATTTACATCTAGGCCACGCCCTGATTTCTGAGGGGAAAACCTGGGAGTATAAGGTGAACAAATGAACTGTGTTCAAAAATGCTCCATGATGAGACATTATCAAGGCAAGGTATGAAGAATCAGAAGCCGGTTTCCATTGTGCTAATCTGTTTCTAAAGCAGACATAGTTAGAAGCACCCTGGGTGGCTCTCGTGGGAGAAGGAGGGGGAGCAACCACCTCTCACATAATTTGCATCACCCAGGGTAATATTTTAAAAGTTGTGAAAAATTTGTTCATGACACCTCCTTCTTTCCCCTTTGCTTAAAGCAGACTAAAGTGGTAAAGAACTTAGCATCCGTAAAAATAAGATGATTAAATTTAAACTAATAATACTGCCCTATTGTAGGAACCTACTACAAGCGTTTCCCAAAGAATAATGGGGAGAAAAAAAATTTATCTGGATCTACAAAAAAAACTAGGGGAGGAATAAAAGATCAAGACAAGAGGTGAACAACAGCGTGCCTTATTCTGCAGCAATGATTAAAGAATAAGTCTAGCTTTTAACAGGGCTTTCTACAGACCGTTAGATGAAATCTTAAGCCCAGTGAAATCAAAAGAAGTTTGCTGTCAGTGCCCGTGGCCCAGATTTAACGCCAGATGCTGATGCAGACACTCTAAAGCTGTCCTGGCAAATAGCTTTTTGATCTCATTAGATGCTGAAGAAGGAACTGCTGTCCGATATGGCAGAGACTTAGAACAGTTCACCCGCCATCCCGTGCTCATCCTGAGGGGAGGATACAAGCGTTTTTCAGCCTGCTATCATTTTCTGAGGACTCAGAAGTTATTCTGGATGCCTCAGGTGAGATTAAACATTAATTTCCAAGAAGAAAACATTAGCATTCATATTCAACAGGTGATAGCTAATGCATTCAAGTTAAATGATGTTGTGAACTCGATACCAGAGTACTTTCAAACAGAGGAATTAAATGTAATTTGAGTTACTGTGCCTGCCCTGAGTCACACCACTAATTCTTTTACAACTACATTTTGTGGTTTTTCCTCTTTTATTGCATGGAAGAAAAAGTTCATGAAAACAACCTGGGAAGCTTTCTCTGATAACATCAAAACTGGCCTATTGGAGAGTACTGATAACTAAACAAACAGTAGCGGATGATAAAAAAGCAGATTCCTCTCTAATCTCTTTTACATGTGGTTATCCGAGACATTACAGAAGTAAATGTTTTCAGACAGAAGTACAATTTCTCTTAAGCAATGCGTCCCGTGTCTATAACGCTGCTCATCTGGAAGGATCACAAAGCACATGTTGGTGCATTGTTTCCATAGGCCCAGAAAGAAAACAGCCATCCACTGAAACTTTGGCATCCTAATAATTTGGTTTCACCTGCAAACATTGATGTATTTAGCTTTTTAAAAGCAATTACCTTCATTCTACATCTAGGACAGTATTACAAAAAAGGGCACGTTTGAAGGGCATTGTGCAGCAGAGGACATGTCATTGCAGCATGTCTTTCATATCTGTTATTCCTATTACTTCGCATCTGATTCAAATGAAAAAGCCCATGACATGGTGCTATTCGGCGGGATGTTACAATGCAGAAGAAAATCAGTTCACTTTGTGCTTCTTTTTGAGGGATAGCAAACTGCTCAACTTCCCCATCAGATTTAGTTGGATACTTCCTTGCCGCTCAGTTTAAGCTGCTGTTCTTTGCCTTAAACTGTTGAGCTGCTATTTGTTCTGCTGTAGCATTAGCTGAGTTTCAGTTATGGCTGTAGAGGCATAGTCAGCTACTGAGCGTTCTTTACTTCTCTTGGCACACTTATATACTTTTATTCTCAGCCTTCATGCTGCATAAATCAAAAGTAGCTGTGCCACCACCTCGCACCTGCAGCTCTGTCAGATGGCAGATGATTTCAATGAGCCTTGCAGACAATAACCAGAAAATGACTATGTTATACCACTGTCCTTCCATACCTTATAAAAATATATATATTCTGCCTCCTGTTTAGCAGCTATTTTAAGCAATGCCATAACAGCAGCGATTCTGTTAATTGTTCTCTATGAATCTAGCAAAGACACCAGTATTTCAGAATGTTCAGATGATGAAATGAATCATTATACAAGAATGTGTCATGGGCTGCTGATTAAGCTCTGTGTTCATTTCTTCACATTACTTCAGTTTAAGAACTTACGAAGCTAATAGGAACAAATACGTTTTCTAAACTGAGCCTATGGTTTCTCTCCTGTAGGAACTAGACAACTTGCAGCCATACCCTGTAGAGATACTGCCTGCAAAGTTATATATGGGCAATTTCAAGCAGGCCTGTAACCGACAAATTCTGAAGGACTTGAAGATCAAAGCGCAAGTCAACATCTCTGAGCAGCCTGCAGCACTGTAAGTTAAACAGTCCAGGTTTATTCTCATCAATGTCTGTGCATGTGGAAAAAGTGAGGTGGCACAGCATCAGAGCCCATTCACAAAGGACTGGCTGTAAGCTTTCCAGGAATCCTCTGCATTTTCAGTCAGCGAGATTCACATGCTATTTCATGCTCATTTTCCTGATCTCTGCTCCAGAGTTTGCTTGGCAGCAATGCATTTCTGCAGCTGTCTACCATGACATGGATGGACTGGGTGAGAGAATGACCAGGAGGCCCTTGGCAGAGGGAGTCCATCACATACCACCATCCTTCAGAAAGAACCTATGTCCTTGACTATGTTTCAGGACAGAGTCTTACAAACCAATGTAAAGCTAAGTCACTCATGTTTCACCTTGTTGTTGTTCCTTCCTTTCCTACATCTGTCCATTACCATTCAGCTCAGTCAGCAGGCCATGGCATTTCTCAAAGTGGTGACCAAAACAGAAGAAGCAATAAATCCAGCTGTCTACCTCAGGACGTGTATACTAGCAGACATTTCTCATGCCTTTGGCTCCAGAGAAAAACATCAAAAGTCCCTGAGCCCTAGGTAATCTCCCTGTGCCCTTTGTATGACATGCTTTCGCATCTCAAATTCCTCACCAATATTTTGCTCTTTTAGCTCTCTGAATTGAGTTCTCTCGAGTTTTTTGAAGGAAGAGGAGGATGTCATAGAAAATCATATGAAGTGAAGGGAACTATGTTCACAGAACTGCCAACATGCATGTTGTGAAACGCTGTCCTGCCTTCACTTCATCTGTTTTCATTTAGTGCTCAGATAAAGCAAGCAGTAGGGTGCAGTTAAGACATCAATGCTGATACCTTGCGGAATGGAAAATCAGTAACCAAACCGTTTGGTTCTGTATCATAAGCACCTTGGTGTCTTACCATAACAAATACCTTATCGTAATGTTAATGATGATGGTGACAAACTCACATATGTAATAGCAAACATAACATTTATCAGCTTGCCTCAAACACATTTTTGCAAAGCTGCTTCACTGATCCATGTAATGCTGCGTTCTCTTTCTCTAGGTTTGCAGAAGACAAGCTCCTCCATATAGCTGTTCCAGATTCTCCCGGTGCAGATCTTTTCTCTTCCTTTTCCACCATTTGTCATTTCATAGGTGAGTTGTTCTTGATCTGAAATTCCTGAGATCTTGTTTACTCTCAGATATTAAATGGGAGTGACTGCAATTCGCTCAGACAGGAGGATCAAGATCAGCATACTCCCAGGCAAGCCTACACCCTAATGGATATCAGAGCTGCTTTAATAACCATCCTGATGGAGGGAGGGGAGATTTTAAAGACCATCTGATACTCATTTTAAGCAATACCTCACTCTGTGATAGCAGTGAGCTTTTCACTAGATCTGTGAAGGCTTTTCTTTTGGGATGTCTACCAGGGCGTCACAGGATTCTGTCCTTTTCCTTTGTTCTTAAATACAACCCTTTGACCCTTACCAGCCCAAATCTCCAACCACCAGAGCTTCATTTGAACAGGAGTGTGACACACATTGGAGAACTTACCACAGGAAGCTGCTAATCCTTGTGATTTGCAGCGCAGACCCAACGTAGCGGCTAGGGAGACTTTCAGGTGGGACAGCGTGCATATGCTGACAAACCTGCCTTTAGCTCATTACACCAGAGAAGGCAAGGAAAAACATACCTACTAGCTGAGTGCCTGCAGCAGCACAACAGGCGTAGTTCCTGCAAGTCCATCCTGTGATCCTGTGCGACTACAGCATTAGCTTTCATCACACTTATGAAATAGCACCTGCCACAGACAAAGGCCCTGCTGTGTTGCATGTTGTATAGATCTAGAGCGAAAAGACCACCCTGTCCCCAAAGACCTTATAATCCAAGTGTAAAATAAGAACTGACAACTGGATACAAACAAGGAAACAATATTTGAGGAGGTATTTTTCTAGTCCTAAATCTAATTTAATGACTTGCATGCATTTAAACCCAAATGTAGATATCCACTTTCTTGTCTTTCAAATTTCCCCAGTTCTATTCCCAGCAGTATTTCAGAAGAAAGTCTCTTTCTCGCATCGGTATGTGGAAGTTTCCAAAATAGACTATGAGAGCTTATTAGCTGTAGCCCTTGTGCAGATGTATACGGTTTACTTGATACTCTGTTTACGTGACAGTCTATAGTAGATATTTCAACTGGAACAATTACGGATGAACACTAGACTAAAGCTCACCACATATCCTCAGAGGAGAGGAGATGAGCTCATGTCAGGTATGTGTTGGAATGAGGCCATTTCCACCCACAGAACTTAGAACAGAACTGGTATCTTGTTATAGAAATAACTCAGAAAATTCTATTTTAGCTTTTTTAAAAAAACATCCTCTCAACAGCAGTAAAAGAAGAGGCTTTGCCTTACACGATCTAGAGCACACTTGTTAGTATTCCAAGACACATCATGCTGTCTGCTTGGAGAGGGAGGGGAAAAGTTCAAAGGATTATTAATAAAACATAGAACCTCTCAGGCACAGGTGGCAGAGGTGATGTGGTCAGGAGCGAGTGACAACATTCTCTTAAAGCCAAGTAGAAAGCCATGTGTAGAAAATGAGTTTGTTGATCTTAGCAATTTTCACTAGAAAATATCCACAACATAATAAAAACAACACCCTAGCTGGCAGGTATATCTTTTCTGCTGGTGATCCCCACAGAGGGATAAGGTACATGACATCCGAGTTCCTCCCAGCTTGAGAGCTGATTCCTCCAGTTTGAGTGGAGAGCGCACTGATAAGACATTTCTGATGTATTCATCAGAAATTTTGTTATCTTTAAACCTGTCTGGGAAGAGGGTGAGTGGCTGATGTGATGCTGACCACAGCTGATCGGTCATCGTAGGCCACTTTCATCACAGGTATCTGACATAAAGGTGAAACTGATCTGTCTTGAAGCATTGACTGGTCGTTATCGTTTGACTCTGGTCTTCACAGCCACATTTTAACTCAGTGGGTTTCTAACAAAGACAGTTGCTTACAAAACCATGAACTGGCAGTGCCCATCTGTTCCTGTCAGGGCTCATGAGGGCTCCTGTCTTTCAGGCTAGTAATCTGTCAGCTTTCACTGAATCTTGACTTTACAATTGGAAGCTTGATTTCTCGTATCACTAATTTGTGACTGGCATTTCTTTATTCAGATGCTCAGCTGGATTATGGAGCAGTGCTGGTGTTCTCTAGCCTGGGGATAAGTCGGAGCAGCACAGTAACCATGGCCTATCTTATGCATTCCTCACAGTTTTCCCTGAAGGTACATCGCTTTCATACTTCCCACAGATGCTGGCTGGGTCTGCAGTGTATTCCTGTTCCTGAAGTCTTCCTCACGAGGAATAAATTGTCTGTGCTTTCACACAAACTGTCTACTTGGTAATGTAATAGATTCTATTAGATCAGATTGCTTGAGTGTGATTTTGGATCCGTGAGTCCTTACTCTGGCATCTGCGATATTCTTGTATTTCCCTTGCTTAGCTACAGGGCTACAAAAATAACGCAGTTGTTAACAGATTTTAGAGGTTCTGCTCTCCTGGATCTGCAAAAGAGACTATTTGGAAGCTACGTGAGTTAATCTTATCTCTTATTACCATGGGGTTACAGGAAGGTTCAGACTCCAGTGCTTTCAAAGCTCTGACTTAACCATTGGGCTTATCAGTACTGACTTCTTCGGAAAACCTAGTTTATTTCCCCAGAAGCAATCCCCTTTCACACATATTACTGCAGGGGAACCTGGAATGGGATAGTTTTAGCCCAGGAGGGATCTACAGGTTAAAGGGCCAGTACATTCCATTCCATAGCTCAGAATTACAGGAGAAAAATAATGAAGGTTGAGAATTACCCAGCTGTGTGCTAGAGTGCCTGCCTTTACCAGATCCCAGGCCCATTTTCACTTTGCCCACAATATACAGCATTGTGCTATTACAGGCGATATCTTGTGGTGCTTGCTTAGCACAGACCAGGCTAGTGTTATCTGATCAACGGGAATTGAAATAAATCTTCTTAAAAATCTCGGCCTTGTTTGGAAAGTATTTTCTCCTGCAGGAGCTCAAAAGCTTTCAATGAAGCTGGGCATGTACCTGATCACTGAATAGATTTTGTGCAAACATTTGCAACATAAGAGGAAATTGCCTACTATCAGTATGTGCCAAAGGGTAATTTCAGGTTGAGTGTGCCAGCAGGGCGCTAGATATTATCTGGCCTCTGCTGCTTATGTTGGGTGTGATTGCTCCTGGAGACTGATAACCATTCCCTTGCTGTTTGCCCCTGCATGCTAAATTATTGGAGGTGCTTCCAGCTGCAGTGCAAAAGTCAAAAGCTGATCCTTGCAATTTCTTTCAGTCGGGATCAACAGCTTGGTCTTGGTATCTTGCCAAGTGGGAAAAAAAAAGGGGGGGGGAGAAGAAGAAGAAAGGGGCAACACCATAGCAGCGTCCTGCAGCTGGCCCGGGTAGTGCTTACGCTGTTGGCTAGGAAAAGCTTTCCTGGAGGATTACCCTGGCAGACACATTTGTTTGTTGCAGACTGAAGCAGTGCAACAGATTCCTGTGTGATCCTTCACCCAGTCTAGGCAAAGATTTCTGAAAGTTTTTAGTATGGCTCCAGGACTCCCAAAGACATGAATATTGCAAAAGAAAGGCACATGTGGGGTGTGCGGCCCCTTATTCAATTAGTAATTGATGTGTGAGTAAATCTATTGAAATCCCTATCATGGGCGCAGAGGAGTAAACACTGGACGATCAGCCTCAGAGCCCGCAGAATCACTGAGATTAGAAAAACAAACTAATGGAGCTGGAGCGCAATCTCTTAACCTTTGGTCTCATTACGCTTAAGCAATCCTCTGCAGGGGGAACTCTGTTTTGTAAGTCAGAAGATGAGCACTACTCGGTAAACCCGAGGATGTGGCTGAGGTAAAGCGGAGTGCTGCCAGTGGACCTGCTGTGTTCCTAGCTGATTACGTGAAGCTAATAAATAATGAAGATGGCTGTAGTTAACACAGTGGGATAACTGAGCGGCTTTACAGCTGCTCTGCCACATCAGGTCACACCAGTCCAGAAACATGATAACCTTTGTTGCTTAGCTGTAGATAGCTGATACTTCAGTGCTTTGTTTATCATCCATGGAAGAAATAGCATTTTAGTGTAGCCTGTGGTGGAAATCTAGGAGTGCATCACTCCGTTAGTGTAAAATAATGCAAGACACATGGCAGATGGAGAGAGAAGCCTGAGCTGTCCTCCTATCCAGGAGAGCAGGTTATAAAGATGAAAGGCTCCTCTGAAGTTTTCATCTGGATCCAGACCGTCCCTACTTTGGTAGCCCATGTCCTTATCTACAGGTTCCTGCTATCCGACACGTAATACCAAGGAAGTCAGTACAAAGCTGCGTAGCTCACAAGTGTAGCTGCTTAGTATAAATACATGGAGTTGGTTTTCAGTTCAAATTTCTAACACTTCTTTTCTTCCTTTTTGTTTACAGGAAGCTTGGGAATACGTTCAGAAATGCAAAACAAACACGAGACCAAACCGGGGCTTTGTGAAACAGCTTTCAGACTGGGAGACCCAAATCTATGGGACCACCATCACAGATATCTCCGAACCAAATTATTGACAGAAGCAAAGAGAACACCCAGCAGGGAAAGGCACTTTCCTGTCCGTGCCAACATCTGGCCTCTCGGTAGAAGGTGACTTGAACTGTGTTTGAAAAACACCTTAACATTATGGAAGAGCTTTCATCTTTAGCAGGTAACATTTTGGGTCGAGTTGTGGAGACATTAGGGAAACTTACTTCTGCTGTTGAAGGTGGTAGTTTGGGGAAAGCAAGGCCAGAAGGGTGTGGCCCCTTACGCAGTACTCATCTCTTTCATAATCGAAGGTGATTACAACCACATTATCAGCCATGCTCATTACCCCAGCTATAGGGAAATCATGAGGACTCTCTGAAAAAGTTTATTGATCCGTAGCGAGGGATGGTTATTTGAGAGTTTGACAGCATCCAGTTCCAGCCCGGAGAGATAAGGACAGAATTTCCTCATTTCAGAAGCTCCTCCATTCTGAATGTATCTTCTCAGATACTGGCAGACACCAGGACCCAGAAACAGCCTCTCACAGACTCGCTGATTTGGTTGCGCTGGGGCAGCCCCGTCTAGCAAGACTTCATATGTGCCTTCCACTTACCTCCTCCTAATACAATAACCTAACTTCTTTGCATGGCAGAGAATTTTGAAGCACTTATCCTGTTAAATAAAATCCAAATTCAATACTATCCTGTCTTTTAGCACTGGAAATTCTTTGTATTGACACCTCAAAATAAAACATTACAGAAAATTCTCTAGGGCTTTCATTGCACTGTGCTAAGAATGTCACTTTCATTTGAGATCTTTCCCTGAGGTTTGAAAGTCAAATATGTCCAGTTAGGAACAGAATTCCTCAATCCTTACCATTTTGTTAATGAATTTTGATCACCAGCCATTCCAGACTGCTGAAAAGTGCAAGCTTTGGGAGAGCTTTTACCATCCTGTAAACTTCAGCAAAGCCTTTAGTTGCTGTGCACCGTACTGCAGCGTGATCTGTGAAAAGCTGTATTACTTTGGTCCTTCCCTGTCCCAGGGGCGTTATTTTAAGGAAAGGGGGTGGCTTTTGCCAGGCGACAACAGAGAGCCACGAGCGGCGCGGGCCGGGCGGCAGCAGGCTGCT